ACCAGAATGACACGTATACACTTAAGTGACCTTTGTTATACGTTGTGCCGTATACCTATAGATCACTGAGTATATGTTGAGTCTTTGCGAAGACAAAGGCGGGCGCTTTGTACCTCTAACAATACAGACAACCCTCCCCAAGGGTAGTGTTAGCGGCATCAATCAACACAAGACAGGTTTTCACGTGTGGGTAGAAATGCATTCCATCGACTGATTTCAAGAAGATTGCCATATTATAAACACAGAGTAAAGAAATGTGTATATAACTTACAAGGCATATAAAAATTCATTCATCCAATGCCAAAGCATTACATCTTTGATCTAGCGTAGAAAATGAGCACATAGAGAGGGTGAAAGTCTTGTACAGGCGTCTTTTGTGGACTTAAGCCTACCGTCAACTGTTTGTGACATCACAAGGGCGACCAGGACAGCCTGGAGGATAAAAAACGATGTTCGCCTTGTCGAGGCCGCCATCTTTGTCAAGGTGTTCTCGGCCGGTCACAGTGTCAGGATGTCGCCTAAGGGTTTACAAAAGAACAAGTTTTGTTTACAATGTCGTTCACCTGATAGAATCTCGTGAAAATTCACTACAACTCCACACCTCATACCTTTTGTCTAGTACACTAGTGGCACTGTGATGCACCATGGAACAATAGGTGAGTCAGGAGGAATAAAGGGCGGCAACAGAATGTTGGAGAAATATACTATTAATAATTCAAAACATAATTGGCCCCTATTCTTCCCGACATCGTCCTTTCATGATAGCGAAAGGTTGGGGGTCACGACAAAAAAATACCATGATATTGATATACATGTATATTTCATATTTTTTTCTTGTGTTTTCTTTTTTTGTTTTGTTTAGAAATACGGAGAAGAATTTGCAACGACTTTCTTCAGTACAATATGATTACTCAACAAGGTGAATATTCCCTCGGTTACCGATAGTTTTAAGATAGATTCTATCGACAAGTCGTCGTATGCCATCCGTACGTCTGTAGGGACTGGTCACATTCGTCATACGATTGTCGCACGACAATCACACAATCGGAAAACTATAAAGAGCATTCTTGAAACAGTCGTACATGTGTTATACAAATGTACAAATTTCAGATGCCTTGTTACCGAACAGGCCATATCGATCTTTGAATAGACCCTTGTCGGCGCTTGGTTCTGCCACAGCCCGACTAAAAATCGTACGGCATCAATTTGAATCGTACGACGACCTACGATCGACGAATGTGACCAGACCGTAACAACAAACTACTGATAACGACGTGTTGATACTGAACGGTAACACAGCTACAATGGCTTCCAGTACATTACCTATCAATTTTACCCCAGGCAATACAAAGACATGACAGAACAGAAGGGAGTACCTGAGATCTGCGGCTGGCGCGAGGCCTCGTAGACCGTTGTGCTGTCAAAAACTGCAGTTTTCCGACGATGTAAAGAAAAACAACGGCACAGGAAAGGCGACTGGAGAAAAAATCCCGAGAGCTTTTCTCCACCGCGCCCTTTACCTGGCCTTCTTGTAGCCACACCTATGTTATATCTCTGTCTCTATTGCACAGGTATGATGGTACAAAGTGATTCTTTTGTTATGCAAATTGTCACGAAGCTCCTGAGTACTGGTATCAAGGCGGACAATTATGACCGTGGCTGATTCATCGTCACAAAGTGGAAGAAACGACTGTTATCACCGGGGAGTGTGTCAAACGTTCAGAAACGTCACTTCACCTGGTGTTCCATTTGTACAACCTGCCTTTTGGTCACCTACGCCTGAACATCAATCTATATAGCCTGATGTCCATCCATATGTTAACGGCTTATCCTAGCCTGGAATCCAGTCTCCACTGCCGAGTTAGCGAGCGTTGGAAGCGGACTGGATTCCAGGCCAGTTTTAAAGCCCATTAGAGCCTATTGAGAAATGTTACAAAGTAATCAGTTATTTTTCGCCGCCCGTCTCACGCAACGTGAGTATTATAGATAACATGACGTTGCTTTTATACGTGTGATTGTATCTGTAATGCCGTGTCGTGTATGAATACGCCTTTTTAAAAACAGCCCGGTCCCTCAAGTGAAGGTCGTGCTGGTGGGTGAGACAGATGACCCAACCAGTCTGACAGCATAGCATCGCCTTCACCATACATTCATCGACCAAAAAAAACGACCATTGTTAACGTGTAATACTGCAGATAAACATATTTTCGCAGCGACCTAATTTTGCTGTACAGAAGGGGCAAAAGAGGTTTTCGCTTTGTTTTAAGTCCGTGGTTGAAACAGTTCTGCAACAAAGTCGTAATACATTGGGGGCGTCTATTTGCGGTGAAGAGGTCACGGCGAAAACCGCTAAAATAAAACCATGGTGAACATTGTAGGATTTACAGTAGCCTGACCCCTGGCTTAGTTCACGTTCCAGGTGTTCAAGTCTGCATGCTTTATGTTAGACGTTACCAAAATTCATTATAATTGTTCTTTTAACTTCTAAGATGTAGTATTTTTCATGCCTGTATTTCAATGAAAGACAAAAAGACCTTTGTTCATCCCAGACACTTGGTGAAACCTTTAAGTTATCCTGGCAGAATTGTTCGTGGTGCACTTTGTTGGCCCCATGTCTCCGTGAATAACGCGAACATAGAAATGACGAGGACACTTACAGTACTATAACTTGGTATAAAACATGCCATCTAGCGGCCGCGTTTGGAACATCATGACTACCGATAGACACAGGGACATCCGTCATCCAGCTGATGGCTAAAATTGTCTCCAATGGCCGTGGCGACCTGGAAGACGTGACAATACAGACTCACACCGTAAATCATGCTAACAAATGGGCACCTCCTGGTGATAGGGATCAGTCTAGCCCAGACCGTACAAAATCTCTGGCACAACAACCGACCGCTTTGTCAGGGCTCGGATTAGTCCATGGATTCTGGACTAGAAGTTTGCGTCTCCTAGACTCTGAAAAAACACAGAGTAAACACTTGTGCCGGCAGAATTATCTGTGTGCAAACAGACTTTCAATTACACATGATTTAGACTTCATTCTAAACGGACTGCCCGATTCTCTTCTTGTGCGACACAGAAGCGTGACGAAAAAGTTGCGGTCACAATTGATTAGTCTGACGTGTTAACAGCCGTTGTCATAGCGACAACGACAGCGCGCAAAGGTCTCCTTCGCATGAAATCTTATGATAATGAAAGACGCAAAAGCCGAATTCTTCTCTCCCGACGTTTTGTTAACGTTGACATAGCAGTATTCTGTCTTTGCTAAACAAATATCATATTACAATAGGGTCCCTTGTCCCCCGACAGCCTGCGTTGTTGGTGAATTAAGTACGGTTTGGGTGAATTTGACTACACAAATAACTTGTCTCTACAGATAAGTTTGAATGTGAACGTACACTTCGTTTTTGTCACGACTTTTATTCCCCTACCGCGTTAGTCTGGGGGCTAAGACTGTCCCCTGCGGAACAAATCCGTCTGACAAAGTCTCAGTCGCACAAGGACGGGGCCGAGTACAGTTTTATTCAGGGCTTCCCGGAGGGGGTTCTTGACCCTACCTTTTTCTTCAACTATCTGGGTGAGTTGGCTTTCTAAGTGACCCTGCGTGGTGGTCTCCCACGGCTACGTTATGCAGACGGATAATCAACCATCAGTGTCACCACAAGGAATAACGCAATTTAACTGAGATTCCTTCGTTAATACCTGTAGTGTAGGGCCCTATTTAACGCTTCTTGCACCGTTTAAGGACACTGAAGATGACACACAATGGGCTGATGAGACACAATGAACGATTTTCAGGTGAATTATCTGTACAGATAGTGCGTTTGGCCCACTCCCCACACTGTACCTATCATCATTAGAGGACTATCCAAACAGTACAGCCCCTGCTACTTAGATTTTACCCTTATTCCAAATAACTTACTTTAGTAGGTCGACGAAATGTGTGCTAATTTATCACATTTTAAAATGCAGGACTGATGTACGGAAGTCCCTTAGCTATACCAACATTTCCATCAGCGATGTAATATTGTGTACTCTACACTAGAAATAATGCGTATATAAATATTGAAACGAAACCATTTTGTAAACGAGTTTTTAAAGGTTACTTGTAGATATCTCCATATCAACGACAAACAAAAGCAAACTTCCCATTTCAAGTGGCACCGATCCAAGCTCAGGTTGATAGGTTCGGCAGCCAATGTCAACAGCTATCACCTTTTGCAAACCTTTCAGCTTCTCACAAAACCCTCGCCCTCAAGTCGTGCCGACGATTTGGCGCCTCGGAATGTCGTTCTCGGAATTAGCTGCTGTTTTCAGGTGACCTCCAGGCACTGAAATCACCGCCCTAGCTGTGTCCTGCTGGCGGTGTTATGACACAGCTCTCGTTCCCACAAACCATAATAGACGTAACTAGGGGCAACGTCTGAGAGAGTCGTCCGTCAGGCAAATGTCGTCTGCAGACTCTGAGTGTCAGACCGACTTCCTGGCTGGGGATCAGGAAAATTGTTAAGGAAGAATGTCATAACAAGTACTCTCCTACCTTCCCTCACATCTTCTGGGGTCTGCGCAGTGGAGAAGCTTGAGAGTCCAAGGACAGCGTAGAACCACAACCAACCCAGAGCTACAAGTCTCCTCTGTCTTCTCTGACAAACTGGCCACAGGAAAGCTCGGTGCATGATTGAACTGAGACGCTGTACTCGCATAACAGAACGTTTACCTTTCGGAAGCCTAGCCTGGGAAGGGGTGAGGGGGAACCCTTTATCATGATGATTGTGCCTTCTACACCGAATGCACAATGTCGGGGGGACACTACTCTTCGGACGATAAAGGACGAGGAAACGTGACCGAACTGCATAATGTGCCCCTGGTTGCAGTTTTCAGTATAGTTGCTAGGAGGCGAGTGTGAACGGACATATTTTGGCCATTAGTGACCTTCACACTGCAAATTTTCGTGAATGTATTATTGGAACTGTGGTCGGGATTGTATGATGTAAGTAATCTTAATAGTCAATCATTTGGACACTCAAAACATTATGCACACAATGTATTGTACATATTAACTTTTTACATCGAAGGTTTTCACTTATTGGTTACAAAAAATCTTTCTCGTAAGAGAAACTCGAGAACAGCGCAGGCTTTGGCTGTGAATATAGGTTGCAGGCTTCTACAACGAAAGTTTTCATTGATCGAGTTGGCTTTGACGTGCATCTCATGACGAGATCTGACCAATCCATCTCGTCGATATATACAACCACTTCATTGCCATTTTGCTGGTATGGCACACACATAGTAGTATGACACAGTATAGGTGATTATCACGAAAACTTGCGATTTTACATCAAAATAAAAGTGAACACGATAAGAAGAAACAATTATCAAAGACATGGCACTTTCGTTACACATGATTAACAACAGGATATAAGTATCTTCGTCAGTAGGAATCACATCTCTGTCTCTGTACATGGTCAACGCCGGTTTCCTCTGTAAGAAACATGGTAATAGTCGCTGCATAGGAAGAACTTCCTGAAACCGGGCGGAGAAAGTCGATGCACTTTCTCCTCGGATCGCTAGGTGTTCCATCTGGTATCTGTTTCTATCTGCTTATCAAACTTTAATACATAGACTGAAGGGTAAGAAAATAGGTGAATAGCACGCATAGATACTGATGTAGATGACTATCAAATCTGGCGATCGATCTCCTAAGTGTTAACACGAGTGAAGGAGTACTAATATATGGTGACAATGAAACAAAGTACAAAAGTCCGCTTATAATAAACACGACAGGCAACACAATTTGGGAGGTCCTCCTTAGCACCTTCGATGTCTTTTCTCGCGAAGAACGATCACGTAAACCAAGTGTCTTGCACGCGAAACCACATACTAGTATAGGGGCAACTATTTCTGCATCAGTGTCGATCATTTTTCCTCAAACAAAGGTCCACGATATTTTGCAGTCCAAACGCCCCGAATAAAAAAAGTGCAGTTATACGTAATGGACGCTACCAGTACGCCTTGATCAGTTCGATATCATTGATCAGTTTCCTGGCAAAACAAAGCGCCATGATCTGGAGTATGACCGCGCCCACAAACACGCCGCCTATCAGGTACATGTTGTTGTTGATCCACTCCACGATGCTTCTCTGGCAGCCCCGCACGTAGATCCTGTCCCGGGCCTCGTCCAGTTTCATGCCGATGGCGTTGAAGCCGCACTGCGTGTTGAGGACCTGGTCTTGTGTGTAGCTGGCTGAGGCCGACAGACAGCAGGAGTGCGGCACGCCACACGCACGGGCGCTGGGAGAGGAACAGTTGAAGTACCTACGGATAGAAATAAACAAACACATAAGCACATGTAGAGGTCGACAACACTTAGCACATAATCTAGAAAATCATTCAAATCATTAACACCATCACAGCCATGCAAGGTCAACAGCACACTGGGATTTCTCAAACGTAGTGCTAGTATAATTAAGGGAGGTAAAGGCAAAATTCTGTGGGTCAAAGTCATTTGAGTACGCAACTACAATCTGGGATCCATAAATACTAATATGCTCGAATGTTGTAGAAGAGAAGACTAATAGTAATACAAAACTGCATGCGGCCACCAGGTGGAGTATATGTTCATAGCAACAATGGCGTCTAAAGAGGCAGGCCAAATCAGACTGGCGATGTTTAAATTTTGGCAGGCGGGTCATTTATCAATCGAAATGTTCAACTCAGCCTAAAATTGTTTGTAATGATTCCGTTGCAAAGCGACAACGAAATATGATTGATCATTTTCTTTTACAAGTAAATCCAGATATCAATAGACCAGATTCCAAAGGAAGAATAGGCTTTCTCACATGGACAGGATCAGTAAAGTTAGAATGTCAAAGAAGACTAATCTATCAGAATGAGGTTAAGACGGAAGCGACGGCTTAAGATTCGTAATGGGCAGATGTCAAATAGCGTGCCAACTTTATCCTAGTTTTCTTCGCCTGTCAACAGCTGTGATAAACTATAGACCAATCCTGATTGACAAAATACATCTAGCAGTTCAACCAATGATGGCATCACGATTGGTGGTTCAACGTGTGAGACAGTGGTTACAGTTTTATGTTTTGACAACTCTAGATACTTCGTGGAGGTGTAAAATATTCGATTTCTTGATCCTTACCTGTTTTCATTCCAGTCTGTGTACGCCTGCGAGCCGCAACACTTCAGTCCCATCTGAATCTCATCCACGATGAACTGCAGGTCGCTGTCCTCTATGTAGCGCACGATAGCAGTCCTAAAGCCCCTGCCCAGCGCCTGCTCTATGGAGTCCTTGTACACGTACACCAGGATCCCGCCCGTGATCTCCACCACGAAGATGAAGACCAGGCTGTAGGAGAAGAAGGACAGGAGGCACGTGTTTTCCCGCAGGGATCCCAGACAGGCGCAGAAGGACAGGAGGAAGATCAGCAGCCCCACGACCACGAAGATCAGCATCGGGTCCATGACCACGGCCAGGAAGCTGTTGTCCACGTTGGTCAGTCTGGCCACTCCGGACGAAAGGTTCCGTTTCTCCACCATGCCCCAGATGCCGATGGCCAGGACCGCCCCTCCAACGATCCAGAAGATGACGTTGACGCTGAAGATGGTGTACTTGACGCAGAGGTTGACCTGTCCCTCCTCCGCGAGCCGCCGCCGCCGCGGGCTCGGCGACTCCAGACTCTTCACCCGGCTACGGCGCTCCATAGGCATGATCCCGTCTTCTGTTAGAGGGAACAGGGAGAAGCGACAGTCCCGTTAGATTAGCTATTGACCAAACTGCACATGTATGACAGGCTGAATAAAAGTTCTAACCGGGAACTATGCGGCTCCAGAAGTCTTACTGTGGGGCGAGTGCATATGCGAGATGTCGGTTAGCTTGAGGAATGAATCCCCTCTACTATATACTGCACGACATTCGTTTTGTTATACGAGCTTATAGATGAATGCATGTAGCACAGGACATTCCTTGTGAATAGATACCACAATGGGGCGCAGTGTATGTGATCATGTCATTATGTGGTTCAAAAGCGCGGTACAATTACTATGATTAAAGAGGATCCAAGGAAAGAGATTATGACAAATTTTGACATATGAGAAAATAAACCAACGCGGAAATAATGGGGCGCATTTATGTCCATGGAACTGATATACGGTCTGCATTTGTTGAGATCGCGTGTACATTAGACACTGTACTATATCATTTTATGATAGCCATTGGAAAAGAACCGTAAAAATGTCTAATGGCTTAAGCTTATATAACGATCCAAAGCTCCTGTTAAACGCACTGAAATGAGACAAACATTATTATTACGTTCACTAGCTACGGAGACATATTTCTTTCTATGACGATGTAGGTGAAGGATCATCCTTCAAATTTCCATTCGCAATTAGGGACTTGCAACTAATTGTACTGTCCCGATATCGGTATATCATAAGTATTAGGCTTGCTAAAGGTCCCCCTCAAAAGGATAAGGAAAATTTTCGTTGGCGGCAGGTTGCCCCTTGTGCTGAAGAGTGGCACTGGCAACATGTCTGGATTCCAGGCAAAGCTGGCATGTTCAAGATCTTCGAACTGCGCAACTCATACCTATAACCAATATGTTATCCGAAAAGAGCTGAAGTATAAAAGAGAAAACAAGATGTACCTGAGTCGGCAGAACACCAGAACTAGGGCGTCCAGTTTCACAGCTCGTACAGACCCTTTACATCTCATATATACGCACCCTGTCCTGACAGCGGGGTCATTCGTATTACACAACGCGTTTTCATTGAGTGGTACAGATTGATAACTTGAATTATGGTCCTTAATTTGTTCCTAAGCAATCTCAACGTAGGAACGTGAAGACAAATATGCTCACAGTTTGCACAAACATGCCCATTACGGCCGGGCGATGACGCACATCCACAAAACACTTCCCTCCCCGCCTCGGGCACCGGTCACAGATGTCGTCTGCAGCGATCAAACAAAGCCTAATGCCAAGGACGGAGTTTCTACTTTCCGTAAACAGTTTGTGCAAGTGTTGCAAAAACACGGGCCTGATGAATTAGGGAAAATTTCAAACACCGTTTATGTAACCAGCTACCTAGATATTCAAGATAATTCAAATAACAATCTTCCACCTCCAGTGCGTAAGTTAATTATTTAGAAACGACTGATATCCAGACTTGCTTAGTAATTAAAGCTGCTGGCTGGCAACAAGTGCCTATTCTAAATAGTTAGAAGCCCCGGTAGACAGATATTGTCTTAAACTGTGCAGGCTTGAATGCTTCCTTTGCCTAGTAGGTAGAATGCTCGCCTTGCTTGCGGGAGGTCGCGGGTTCGATGCCCGAGCGAGTATCCCGAGCGAGTCATACGGAAGATGATAAAAATCGTACATTCTGCTTCTAGTTCTCTGCTTAGCACTCAGCACTCTCAGTGCGTACGGTGAACGTATTGCAACGCGTTAACGCTGCCGTTCGTTTGGTGTTTACATGAAAACTAGGAGGCCATTTTTATCGTGCTGTAGCGTGGCTCAGTATTCAGAAACAGCCAGGCAAACACTCATTAAACGCTCCCCCTGTCGGCTATTCACCACAATTGCAGATCAAATGTCCGACAATTACATAACGTTCGTTTGTGTGATAGTTGAGCCCTGAAGACTCTATCCTCATCACAATGAATAACAAGCAGGTAAAGGTGTCACCGAGGTTAACGGTTTGATGTGGTCGTGCATTCAGATATGTTTATGGGGCATTTATTAGTAAGTAAGTATGGAGTAATAAGCAAGTATGGAGCGTTGGTAGAAACCTTTGGAGGTAAACCTAAAGGTCCCATAGCCTTTGAGGCCCTAGGGTCACTTTCTAAGGCACGGTATTGGAAAGTGGAGCCCATTTCTCTACTTCCACCGCCTTTTACCTCCCCAACCGAGGTCAGGCAACTATCTACACCTGGGTGGAGTGAGGAAAGTCGTATCGAGTGCCAAGATTAAAATAAAAAATAAAAACGATTCCCTCTTCTGTCTTTGGAACATTCCTGTGGTGGAAAGTAAACAGGCCTGTACATACTGACACCAACACCAACACGGCATTTAATTACTATTAACCTGTCAAACCACAGCTCCGACACGTCGTCTTGTTTTGAACACACAGCTGTAGTAAACGGCAATACGCCGCTGGAATATTTGGTTCTGTCACAGCATACTGTCTATCACATTATCATACTACCAGAATTTTGGTTGCAATTAAACTTCATTCCATTGTGTCGAACAGTCGTAAAAAGAACATTTAAAACGTCGCCAGTACCAAGGCGCAGAACACCTACTCACGATACCCTTAGTTAGTCTACTCTTTTACACCGTACCACAGGTATAACAGGTACACCAATTTGATTTAACAATTCTAACGATATCATTACGGGATCCGTTAAAGCAAGAAAGTAACCTCCTTGGTTGAAATATTCCCTGTTGCTATAGATGCTTTTGGTGGATGCTCACAGAATAGGCATCTCAACAACACAGGATTTGGGCTAATACATGCCTTAAGGTACATTGGTGAATTAATTTTGTGTATACATACATCACAATTCAGCGAATACAACGAAATACTATGATTAAAATTATTCAACAATTTTTAATACTTGGACATGGAAATAGTAGTAACTGATTTTTTAGGGGGGGGGATTTAAAAGGGAGGCTGAGATCGCTGTGACACCGGCACAGTGCACGAGTCCGTTCCCTTTACGATACCAAGCGGTGGGCTCCTGAGCCAAGACCCTGCCCCAAATCGATTTTTGTGTGTCCCATTACGTGGTTGCCAGAAGAGCTATCGCATCCGGTGCCTGGCGCTGTATAATCCGGCGGTACGGCTGGGGAATCTGCCAGCCTGCGGCGGCTCTTTATTACACTGGAATACGTTTTTATCGATCAGCCTTTTATACCCGCCATGTCGGTCTGTGGGAAACATTCCCGTACCCTTTCCAAGTAAGCCACATGGGGTACGCTATAGAGGGGTTGTCATCAAGTACCTTGAATATTCGTGATGAGTTCTGATCGGGCCCAAGGAAAGCCACAGTCTACTCGTACGTATTCAAGACGGTCAACAAGGAAATTCAGGACACCCGGTTATATTATACTATAGTATATGGCATCTTCATCCCAACACGTTTATAGTGCGTGCGTTAGACCATCTCTTTGGTTGAGTAAAGAGACTTTTTTACACAACCAAGTCTTTTATTCATCCGACGTTTCTGTGCACCGGTGACCGTCTGTCACCTTCCTCGGGGCAATTCTGGCAGGTGTCGCTGCTATAGATGCATCTCTTTCGTGGTTACAGTAAATTCACAGAAACTCTAAATTCTTCCCGGAGGTTTCCCGGAAATCTGCGATAATATCTCTTGTTTGGAAAGTTGTCGAAGCTTTTACTGCCAAGGTCGCTAGTGAATATGTAGAGAGACCGGGAATACAAATAGCATCAAACTACGTCACGTAAGCCCAGCAGGAACTTCCGCCGGTATGTACATATACATCTCCGTAATATGTGACGTGCTCTTAACAGTGAAGAATGGATCTTCTCAACAACAGCTGCGGTTCACTTTCCAAACAGCCCCGGGGCTTGTGGCCAGACGATTATGTCGGTCTATTCTACTTCCGATTTTTCTCCGGGAGACGGCCTGGAGCCGCCGTTTATCATCCGAAGTTTGAAAGTCAATGTGAAGGATATGACCTGTGGTGGTGGGGCTGGAAGAAATTCACCAGGACTAGAGAATGCCAGCCTGAGTTTGAACGCGTTTTCTGGTTTCTGATAAAATTGATCAATCAATAAATCACCCAATCAATCAATCAATCAATTGATCAATAAATAAATGTATCCATCCGTTCATTTATCTAAGGTAGGGCATACAGATAAGACACGGGGCTGCCCTGTTTTAGTGTGAATGTTGATTGTATATATATAGTGTGTTTTAATTTGTTCACTTGTCTTGATTTTTAATCAACCGTTTGTCAAAAGCGTTAGTCAATCCCTGCTTTTGTACGATTTTGTCAAATTGAATAAATAAATAAATAAAGTACTTATCTAGACTATCCTGTATTTACAAAATAGTCGGTTGGTATTAGAAAGAACCTATTTCTTCCCATGTTTTGAATTCAACACAAACTCCATCAAGCTGAACATAGCGTCACATTTGAGACCCACATCTCGTAATGTGATGATAGCTACCCACCTCAAAGTGCAAGGCATATTAAATGTGCAATGAAGTCTACATGAATGAAAAAAATATCTAAACTATAATCGTGACTATAATATATCCCAGTAGATGAGTTCAAACGCGTGCAACAAAGAAGGATAGATACAAAATGGGACGGGTTACATCCCAACCATTATTAGCACATGCAATATTTCTCCTTGGCGCTGATTGGCTTTCCCTTACTTATTTTGGTGCAGAACCTTCCTTCGACGACGATGATTATTCTTCTCATACCCAGCACATTTCTGATGAACATCGTTTTACTGAGTTCTGTCCTTTTTGGTTATTGGATATCTTCTCCGACCTCTCCTTTGTGCTGATTGGCTATCGCTACCGTCTTTATTTTCATAGGCTCATCCCTAACTTTAGTGACATGCTATTTTGTTCTTCAATTATTGTTCGTCTTTTTTTATGTAACTTGCGATTGGTCTTCGGAAAAGAAACGTATTTTAGATAAACGTCTCATTATCATTATTCTGTTAGGAATCAAAACAGTTTGATGTGTTATCTTCTTGACGTCACGGAAGCGGTGGATTGTTCATTCCTTGACAAAGACGTCGACTGGAGTTGTACAGTCGAAAATTTGGGTGAGTCCAATTTCTTGTGTTGGATATTACAGTTTAAACTTGCTTCATAAGGTTGAAAACAATATTGAATAGATCTGGGATTAATACTTTGACCTGCTTCTTCCAGTAGCATTACAGAAGAATGCACCAATTAATTCGGACACATCTGTCTGGGAAAAGTCACCAATGCGCTCTGCACGACTCAAGATTCGATCTGTCATCCTTGAAACGACATTCCGACGTCTGCGCATGACAGATCACAGGTCACACCCGGCTGCACTGTTTAATGGAATAAATCAGTCGTAAAGAGATATCTAATATTTCCCTACAGGCCAGTGATTTATTGCTTGTACATCCAGGTATTTTTCACCTCAGTGTACGGATGTTTTGTTTTCGTTGTGTTTGTCAGGTTTTTTTAAATTGTATTTGTTGATATTTGAAAACAGCAGTGTCGCAGGACGTGAGGGGGAATGATGTAACCACAGAATGACAGGAAGATCGAATTGGTGGTCAAAATGAACCCTTGCAGCTGGGAGAAAGTGAAGTCGAATTGACGGTCAAAATGGTCTCTCCGTATTAAGTGACATTTAAAATGTACAGAATCAGCAAGAAAGCCACAATAATGAATGAAACAAGAAATCGTAGATGTGTGACATAGTCGATTTCCTTGCTTAACATCCACTGGTTCTGATCCTTCACAGTAAGAATATAGAGTCAAGAAGCGAGAACGATTTTTTCCTCAACCTGCACATACATGGTTGCTAGCTGTTTACACCTCATATGTACATCTGCTGACAACTGTGTACAGCGTCTGACAAACCGCCCTTTAAAACGCCAACTAAGCGGAAAATTGAACGGGGGTCCATCGGAACTGGCAGCCGACCTTTGAACCCTGAAGGGCAAACGTTGGTGATCAATTTCGGGTAATCTCGGCACGAATCTTAAGAGCAGTGATATCGATCGAGACAATTTTCAAAATGTGTATCTTGGCTTGTTCTACGCTCGGATTTACCTTACACTGTACCTGTTACGACTGTTGTACAATATACGTACCATGGATATAAAATGGAGGTAAAAATCACATCAGATTTTACATCCATGAATGGAGGCTGATTTTACCTCCATGAATATACTAATATAAAGAATGAATGAAAGACCTTTATTGTACATTTATGCTCTTACAAGCTAAGTACAGGTGCTGAATGAAAAGGGAAAAAGAAAACAACAATAACTTAATACTTAATCTATACATACTCGTACTAATGTGATCTACTGTTTACAGGTTCAACGTCTTCTCGCTACTTGAGGCATTTATACTTTACTGTACGGGGGTGGTATTTTGAGCCCTGTTTCCGTTGATTCTACGCCTGATGCAGCCGTGCGAGCGGCGGAATCGACAATTTACAGCCAATCTTCGGTTCACCTTCCCTTAGCCCCCGCTTAGAGGATTGGAGTTCACTCCCAGAGACAGGTACTTGGAGCGTAATCACGCCGGCACAGCTGACAGTGGGGATGACACAGGCCGTGTTCAGTACGCTAGTCACGTCAGGACAGCAGGGTTGACATTCAAGAACGACAAGTGATGTCTATCAGTGTGGTGGCTGTAGTATACGTATACGTCTTTTTCCTACGATTTTACCGGGTGCTTAAAGTCATGTAAGGCCACAGCAAGTAATTGCTATGGATGACATCAGCGTGCGCATTGATTTTCGTCTGAAAAAAAAAACGAATTTTGTTGACCTCTGGCAGTGGCCAACGTGTCGAAAATGAGTAAAATGGCATGTCTTGCCATGTTGGAATGTGGATGGCAGATAAATATGAAGGGGAGACAGGACAAGGCGCTGATTTATTGTTTTGTCTTTTACTTTGATGCAGTGCATGAATTTCATTCCTTTTTTTAATTGTATGTTCCCACTGAATCAAAACCATTTGTACAATGATTGGAAACAAAACTTTCCTTTTTCAAAGTTGTTTCAGTGACAAATGGATGTTGTGAGTTGGCAGTAAACTTAGCACAATATCAGGTATCATTTCTTGTTTAGAATGTTTAGGATGTCAAAATTTGAAAGTGTATGAATCTTTTTTTTTAGCCTGCCTTGTTTTTTCGTCTTATCGCATTAAATGTGGAATTTGAGAAGAATGTCATCCATAACATTTACTTGCAGTGGCCTAAGTAGGGTCCTTACAGTCTGGTATCCGGGTTGACATCTTGAAAAGGTGATAGTCACCTGTTATGTCAATCGATCCTTTCACATATGTGCTAAATCTCAATAAATAGAAAGAGGACAGCATAACCCTACACAAGACGCCCCGGGCATGTGTGATAGAACAGACGTAGTATTAGTATCAGTGGGTTTCTTGAACTAATTTGCGCTCCACTTGTCACAACGGCGGGAGCTAAAGTAAAAATGGCCTTTTGCTATTCTGTATTCCCATCAAGTCAATGATATGATTTGAGACAGTAACCGTCCATTGGACGTTTGAATCATTACAACCACAACAGGCATAGGCGTCGAGTACGTGCACATCCTCTTGTTGTTGACAGTACGTAAAACCTAGCATGTCCAGAATACGAACATTGAAAGTCGGGAGTTCTGTTGCAGTACCACAGTAAGCCTCTAGATGTTTTATGATGTACATTTAGCATGTCCATTATTTTACCGACACATTCCTACATATCGAATGTCATTAAGATTCGTCCACATATAATTATCTGCACTCACACACAACGCATATCTTGAGTTATGCTGTACACGAAGAAACACTGGCACACAAATGGTGCCGAAAACATAGCCTTCTTGTCCAAGGAAATTAAACACCTACTAACTCAATCTGGATGAGCCAGCCCCTTAGCGTCATTGCAGATCGTTTTCCAGACTTGAGTGAGTCACGACTCCTGTAATATTGATGCCGTATTCATGACCATAACGTTACGGAAGATTCGATAGGCAAAAATTCTCCGCCTAGATCACCATCCATTATAGGATTCCGCGCGCTGAGAAGTCACAAGACACTCCGCAATATGAGAGCGGTACGTCACCATCAGGTGTCCCCTGGCACACGGGCGGACGGCTGGGGGCTGCCTGCCAGGTTTTTACTGGTTATATAATGGCGCTGTCACAGGCATCGTCGGGTCGTCGTGCGGTTTTTGATGTCGCAGTGTTTTTAAGCAGGCTGTGACTGAGCCAACCACGCTACCAGGATCGATCTAATGCAGCCGTTTCGGTAGAATAAGACAAGATTTTTCTGTACACATGCACGACTGCTGCGACTATCCCAATACCCTTTTCGATCGTACAATAGTACGACGTACGTGACCGGACCCTAAGTGTAGTCAATATGTATAAGTGTAGTGCAATAAGTGTAGTCCTAGCATGAAAGAAGGGTTAGTGCAGCAATTTTAGGCTATATCCTTGCACAACTGCCATGGTCTTTAAGATAATAACATCACTGACTGAACAATATGATATAGCGAGGCAGATTCATCATTATGCTGATGTTGGCCTCCTCAATCCAAAGAAGAAGAAGAAATACATGGAAGAATAGTGAGTAGGTCTTCTTACTTACCAGTGATGACGAGAGAAGATGATGTTTTCTCCGTTGTCTGCATCGTCCGTCTGTTCTGCACTTTCACGAGGCAGCAGAAATTGGTTAACGCCGGGGATTTGGAGCTCGCTGCGCTCTGATTCCGATTTCAATACTGATGGAATTTCTGAGTCGCACCGTTGATCCATATGGACGGCCAATGCCGCGCGATTCGCAGTATCGCCGCCAGCATTTCTTGCTTTGTAGTGTTGGATGTGAAATCCCCGGTTGAGTTGGAAATATATTGCGGCAGGGATGCCCTCAGTCTATCTGCGCGCAGAAAACAACTCAGTCAAACGACATCCACCGTGGCTCGCTTCCAAGCCTAGCTGTCGACATCGGCAGTTGAACTGTTAGGGCGGCTGCCTGGTGCGGGACAGCGTCAGGCTGATTTACAGAAAAATGACGGCTCTTGCGCCTGTTGCCAACCCTATACGGGGCAGGTCTTGGACTATACCAACCTCACGAGAGGGGAGAACGGTTCGTGGAGTGTTGTGATGAAAGTGACGACATCTTCAGAGGCGACCGTGTGTCCACCGCCATTGCCGCTTCCATTCCCTGCGTCTTCCGTGAAGATTTTCTCCAATATTGGCACCGCAAGCAAGTCCCGGCCTCACGAATTCCCAAAATACCCCTGTACCGCAGACGTGACGGTTGGCTATCGATCAGACGTTGATATGAGATCACTTATCGATAGATGGTTTGAGAATGAGCGCCCTTTCACGGAAAGTAGATTTTTGATGGCCGACAGCGGGTAGAAATATACCCCATCAATCCAGCATCTTTCCCCCTCCGCACTGACAACCTCCTAAGAGTGAGCGGCTCAAAAACAAGATCACAAAGCTCCCACTTTACATATGAGTAATACCGCACGAATACCCCATCGCGGAGGAATAACGGGTGGAGTGAATACAACCTATGGGGCCCTGCAGTCGTCATTGAGAAGCGTTCAGCCGATGAGAGCAGTGCATTGGACATAGCGGTCGATAAGGGTAGATTTAATCCGCGGCCTTCCTAGGCCACTGATATATATATAGTACGTGATATGAGTGGACGGGGCTCCATTGCTCCATAGAGTTCATAAAATAATCTGCAACCCATTTTCATGCCATACGTGATGACTGTTTTTGTTTATGTTCAAATTTGACTGATGTATGTAATTATACGTGCTGTTTTTATTTCTTGGTAAATGAGTACAATAGATTTTGTGCAAGCTTAACTATGCTTCTAGCTGTAATAATCCGAGTGCTCCCATGCTCTCCCCGTCGCTTCGCGTGTCCAATTTAACGCAAATTTGGCAGCTTACGGCCCATCTGAGGCGCTGCCTTTCACATTTTAGCGGGAGGTCGTTACATTATTTTGCCTTACGGGCGCATACATCACCCGGCACCGCTGACCTTATTGATCAGTCCCGCTACGTGTTGAACGTGCTCACGCCTCGGCATCTGTCGTCTCCTGAAATATCGTTCATAGAAATAAAACAAGAACGCCCTCCCTCTTCCGTCAACACGTAAACATGCAAAATCAAAACATAGAAATGCCATTATTTGCCGAACAGGCAGCCGCTATCTCATTGGTCGAAATAATAATTGCCATGCTATCATAGATTGAACTGCTAAGTGTAATAGACACCGAGGATCGGTCTATTACAACACTATGGTAAACTCCCTCTTATCTGTTTATTTTGCCATTCCGTCAGCAAGCTATCCACCCACCTAATCCCCTTCATCGTTATTCTTTCCAAACTACATGTATTTTCTGTTCTGGAGGGAATAGAAACTCCTGTTTAATTTGCCTGCGGTTAGTATTTAGAACGGAGAATTATACAAGAAATTGCGAGTAGATAAATGACGACTGGTACGTGATTACCAAAGGGTTCATGCAAAGCACAACACCCCAGATTCATCTAGAGAAGGAGACCGAAAACGTGAAATCCCACACCCCGAGCATATATAACATGTAGTGCACGTTACATGTTCAGAATAACTGTATGAATAATCATCTCGTTATAGATATTTGATACTGAAATATGCAATGGCTTTTATGTGTATCTTATCGAGATAAATCGATGGCACATGATACTTGGGAGCTGTCCAAGGTGCTGATTTAATGGTGTTATAGATGAGTTATGTTTTGGGACAGTCGCCAGGACTGGGGGAGGGGGGTCGGATTTCTGTCGGACAGTGGAGAATAACGATATATATAGAGAGAGCACATGGCCACACGAAAGATTGGATTATTGCTGTTGTCGGGATCCCATTTTCTCTTATCTTGTACAACCAGCTGTTGTCTTGATCGGTATCACCACTTCTATGCACATGTAATCTCCTCCGCATTATCTGTATTGTTTTGAGATAATAGTGAGGAGAGAATATGATAACATGTCTTCGGTGCAACTGTACACACGTGACGTTGTATGTGCTGTGCAAAGATGAAATTAATATTTATGTTTACCGAAGGAGAACATTTTGTTTTGGCCGTGTTTCTTCTTCTCCACACCAAAAATGTCAATGACCTGAACCACACTGTCTGTTACCATGGTAACTAGTGTTGGGTTACATCATGTTGCAATTTTATAGCAGGAGGGATTAAGACTCCTGTCTGACCATATATATGAATGTGTTTGAGTAAGAAGTAATAGAGCTGTCCATATGCGAAGGTAAACATTGCTTTGCAAATGTTACCATGCTAGTTATATTTTTGTATGCAAGCTTATGCCCGAAGGATAATTGCAACGGAACACTCACACTGTAACGGAACGAGGTAAAATATGCCTACTCTAAAGACATACCCGATGCGTACATTACTGAGTACTAGTAGTTTGACATCTTCTGAGGATCAGTCTTATGACCAGAGACGTCCGATAAAAGAAATTCCCTCGCCGTGCGGATATTGCGTTTTCCTGGCGTAGCTGCGTGTGGACTGTGATAACACCCGGCGGCAGGGAGGCGGTTACCGGCGCTGCACTGTCTATATGAAGCCGCGAACAGCTTCAATTTGACATCTGCTACCAGCAAGACGTAACGATGAAAAGAAAATATTAAAAGCATTCAATTCGATAAGGCAAGGTACGTATATCTTATTGGCAGCAGGGAGGTGGTTTCCAGCGCTGCACTGTCTATATGAAGCCGCGAACAGCTTCAATTTGACATCTGCTACCATCAAAAAGTCGCGATGTAAAGAAAATTTTAAAAGCATCCGACTCGATAAGGCAAGGTACATGTATTCTATTGTCAGATGCTTGGTGTCAAAGGCACGTCGTTTCTTGCCTCGCTATTCCATGGTAACAATACATATATTCTTATCAGACGAAAAACAGAGTATACGCGTATATATCTTGAAGTGTAAATTTATAGTTTGGAATTCTGTTATTGTCATTTCCTAGGAAAGAAACGTGACCGGGACACTCAATAACACGAGATATACGATTATTGGATATGAATATATCTTGTAAAAACGTACCAGGCAAATATTCATTTCGTCTCTGTAAGTTGCTATTGACTGGTGCTCGCTGGCGTGTCCAGATATGGCCCTCTATTTTAACGGTTCCTTGATTGCGTTGCACGCCACCGGTGCATTTTCTAATAACCGTCTAATGCTACACCATTAGCGTAACTCCGTTTTACAACGTCTAACGCGGTAAGATGACGCCGTGATTGAAACAGAAGACACTACGTGAATATACTAGTAGTTATTACAGTTTACCGATAACCCCCCAGAAGAACCTTGTAGTGAATTTGGCTCACGCTGTCAGGCAAAATTACTTGGAGATGACTAAACGTGCAAATTTTATTACTGGAAGTTGACTCAGAGTCAGAGAAATGTGTTTAATAAAGGAAAATACCCATGATCCATCCTGCTCGAGGGCATCCAAATGTTAACTTCCGCATTTCAAATCTCCGGGCAGTATTTCAGTTTTTGTGAATTTATTGTCACAACTAAAGAGATGGTCTAATGTACCTTCAACGTGTCAAACGACATGCCCAAAACACTACCTCCACATCCGGAGGTAACTAGTAATGTATGAATAATGCTATGCTGTCCTTGGTGCTGAATCGTAGGTTCGCAACTTTCTATCCAACGATGCATACAAATGTACACGACTCGGTGGCTACTTTCCATTTCGTTTTTTGTCCATCTTGTTTTTTTTCACGCTCTCGCATCAGATTTGGAGTCTTGTAAATATCATCCAGCGTTGGAAGTGGGAGCTTTGTGATCTTGTTTTTGAGCCGCTCACTCTTAGGAGGTTGTCAGTACGGAGGGGGAAAGATGCTGGATTGATGGGGTATATTTCTACCCGCATCCAGTGCAATTTCAGGATGGAAAAACTGTAAATATAATGAATAAGGCAATCTGTATGAAACATACTGTCCCACATAAGCACATTTGAATCAGTATTTCATACTTGAGGCATTAAAAACTGCAGAAACATGCCCCAAGATGAGTCCTTTATTTTCTGGATGGTACCCTAAAAATCAACCCAGGTCCTCCCAGTAACAGTCTGTTGTCAGAATTTTGGGGCATTTTTGCTCCATGAATGTCGATATACACTGGCAGTGTTGTTTTAACTTAGTATGTAGATAGGTCACTAGAATATTGACTTTGGTTTTGGTTTCAAAGCCCTAAAAACTGCACTAGATGCCTGGAGATACAGATAGCCGTAACAGGCATTGAGGTGTAAAGTAGATGCTACTGACCTTATTCAGAGACAAGGGCAGTTAAAGAAATCCCTGACCTACAGAAGACAAGGTTTGAGACTGGAGCTTGTGTGGACATCAGCAGATTGGTACAGAGATGGAGTGGCCTTGGAGGGAGAGCCAGAGCTGATAACCTTATCTCAGGACTCGAGGCGCTAAAAGGAGGCAATCTGCACAAGATGACTTGCACTTAAGATGATGAGCCGAGGGATGAAGTTAAGTGAAGTCAGCAGTTGTTTTTTTTTTTTTACTTTAAAAGGTTTCATGTTGGCATTGATAGTAAAGGAACGTCAGGCACAAGTTTCAGAGATCGCAGGGCCTCAAAAGGTGCTTTCGTAAGAGTTCAAAGACCTCAACACTCTTGTGAAATATTTAAAGTTCTTGTATGTCTTGTTTAATCGTAGTTTCTTACTTTTGCACCTTGATTAATATTACATGTCTACAGTAGCTTTTGATACTGATAGTATTAACACTACAGGTTGATCTGATTAAGGACTTATTTGTTGTATGATAACATGTGTGGAGTTGTGCTTCGGTCATATGATGATACAGATATAATGGTTTAAGTTCAGAGTCAATAGTTTCTAAACATAGCACGGCAACCAATATTGAAATTGGGGGCATCTTCCCTATGGCAACTTATTCCTTGTAACAGAATGTCAAAACCACCAGTGATCTGGAAACTCACCTTTTCCTTCACCGGAAACCAAGACCTATCTGGGATTGTAGCCACCTCTGTGCATCCCCCTCCCCCGTCCCCTTCCCCCGAAACCACCCCTTCCCCCAAACCCACCTCTACCCCCTCCCCCTCTGCTGGACCCCCCTCGCCCCCCACCCCTCCCTCCTCGACCCTCTCCTTTGATTTTCGGTGTGGGTGACTTGGGTCGGAGTGCCTCTATCTTCTCTGTACAGCCTGTGAGGAAGTCGTTTGGTCCTTTGTTAAAGAAAGCCTTGTAGGTCTCTGCAGAGAAGTTGGTGTTGGTAAGGGCTGGACCAATACTCAGCCAACCTACAAAACAAATACAGAAAATAACACTTCAGTATGGAAAGGCATATCAAATGCATCTACTACAGGTAGCTTTTTTGATATGAGAATCACTGCTTCTCATATATCAATTGACATAAGTTTAAGGTGATTACAGCATGGCTTTTTAACACCTCAGTCACATAAGGCCATGTTGATTTGATTATATGGATGACATCCCCGCGCGCATGAATTTTCGGCCGTTTCCAAAAAAAAAAAGTCTTCAACCATACTGTAAATTGTGCAAAACAGTTGCTAAATGAGCAAAAATACACCATAAGTTGCAAGGAAAACATTTAGAAACGATACCAATGTCGTAGAATGCCAAAATCAAAGGAAAAAAGACAAAAATGTAAAGAAATGAATTCGAAGAGTAGATTATTCGCCATAACATATTCTGTGCTATTTGTTCAACCTTCATGACCACGTAGATTTCATAGTGAAAGCAACTTTTTTTTTCAAAACTTTTTTTTTATTCGCACGCGTGCATCAGTTTTGGGGTTCCCAGAGGATGTCATCCATATAATCAAATCAACATGGCCTAATGGAAAATAAATGCCGTGTTGCTAACCCTGTTTTTTCAGGACCATGATCGGAAACACAGTATTAATTTTCCTTAGCCTCTGAAATAGGTAACCAACACTCCCCTCTCCATACTCGGAGCCATTGACAGTGACATGTTAGCACATTATCCACTATTGGAAATCGATGACTCTCTTCCCTGTCCTTCCTCACTAATCAGTCAACAGGAATGTTTCCCAAGGCCACCGACAGCTTCCATTTAATGGGAAATGTGATTGATGCCAAACGTTTGTCCCACGACCTTCTTATCTGCCAATGCCAGTCCTTGAGACAAGAAACTCCGAGAGTGGACATGACCTAGCTTCAAGAAAGTCAATAACGGTTGATCAAAAAAATTCCAGATCCCCTGCAGTTCCACAATAAGCTACTAGAGGGCCTACAGCACCTTTTCCAGCACATCTGCAGTATGTACTGCACCTGTGCGAAACCCGTAATGTATTGTGCATAGTACTTTGACAGAACGTCTAATATAAGGTCGTAGTTGCGCATATACGGTTAACATCCCGTCTGTAGTTTTCAAATGTTAAGTTGGAAAAGATGTCGTCTGTAGCAGGCAGAATTCTGATGCAATGTTGACCAAAAATTTAACGAAAACTGTGAAGAATACGGGATTTCGCGCAGGTGCAGTATGCTATGATGACGTGCTACCTTTTCCTGACAAAAAAAGCTACTGCCATACGTATACATTGTATATATATATATATACGTATACAAAGTATATTAATAAACTGAACAAAAAAGTACAATGTTCACTACATAAGCTGTTTATATCGCATTTTCTACTGCAATAAAAATGAAAAGAACATGTTGGAAACCATTCTACAACTTTTCATCACCCAGAAAATTTGATGTCCCTTGCCAGTGGCCGACACAAAAAAAAAGACGAATGTTGGCAGATTTTTACTGAGGTCGGGTAACTGGATGCACATTTCTCCCCAGGCACAGATCTAGATCTGTCACACTGTGGATAAATGTGCTTGTTACCCAATCCCCATACATAAACCTGCAATAGAGTCCCACCCAATCTAACTGTTGATTGGGTATTGATTCTGAGTGAGGATGGCCTTGAGATATTTCCAGAGCAACAGGACTGGACTGGTCCATCATGTAGGGGGGTACAGGAAACATAAAGACTTTGTTCAGATGTCCAAGAGTTCAAGGTGCCTCTTCGGTGTTATACTTACAAGACTTAATGCAAGACTCAAAATACTGGATTTGATCCCAGGACCTATTGGTTTTGACTCAAACACCCTAACCCTCAAGCACAGGTTTGAACTCAACAACACTAGTTTTTATGGCAACTCTAAATTCATCATTGTAGGAAAACTTCCTAAGAATTCACAGGCATATTAGCAAATTACCCCATAGGCTGATTCATGAACAAGCTGTATGAAAATAGGAAATCATAGATACACAAGTTAAATATGTACATATAGTAGTAGTATAAAAGTGTTATACTTAGGAGACCAAGTAGAGTCAACGTCTCCTCACTTCTTTGTACATGCGTAGATGTTGGAATAGATACTGTCTTATGTAATATTATATACCCCAGCATTTTGAGCTCTGGCATCTCACACATAGTACAAGTACCTCTGTCTGTTATGATAAACGACACATTTACTCTCCAGATATGCCCAAGGTAGTTCTTCCACTTCCCACGTGGGCAGGAGGATCAACTTTCCATTAAAAGCATTAGCCTGTGTCACTCCTGGACATGCACCAGATGTGTATCTACAGTCTTGAGTTGTTTTCCATTACTTCTCAGCCATCAATCATCTTTGGAATTTTCTCACATTTGACTGTGCATGCATCAGGGATTACTGTAGTCTTCTGTCAGTGATTCTGCAAATAGCTTGTGTTTTTTTTTATGTTGTAGACTATTAGATGACAGTCAAAATGATGAGCTAGTGCACCACAATCTCATACCTTTGCCAAATCATGGTACACTTTATGATAAGGTCCTCATTTGCATAAAGGAAGTCAGAATAGGAGCTGATTGCCATGATGTCACGGCCAGCAAGTGGTAAGGCAAAAAGTGGGTGACAGTGTAGGGTGGCAACTTTGCAAGTAAACAGCCTCTTTTTACTCTGAGTTCAAACCAGTGAGACTCATGACCAAGATGTCAGTTGATCTGAGGTTTAAAGAGTACTCTTTGTTATGTTGTAAGTGATGGTGTTATGTTATAAGTGATAGTGTTATGTTGTAAGATTCCTTGCATTCCTGGCCCCATCTTGTGTCCTACATTGGAAAGGTACTTAATACCTGACTCCACCCAGGTGTAATATAAGTATCTGTTAGGCTTTGGTTGGGGAATTAAAAGGCAGTGGAAGAAGAGGCCTTCAAACATCTTACCCCTGTGGAGTAACAACCCACTGCCCCTATGGCCTCATAATGGCTATGGGACCCTTACCTAACCTATTAGTGATGGTATATTGCCCGTGTATGTCAGATAATGGGATTTATGGGACCAAGCTTTACCAATTTCAAATTAAGGTCCCAGAGACAGGGACAGTGAAGGTTAATCCGCTGACCTGGTCTGATGGTGTCGTCCCGGCCGAACACGTGAAGCCGGCGCCGCCCCAGACAGAAGTGCTCCATTATGGAGAAGATCTCATCAGGTTTCTCAATACTGCCGTGTTCGGGTTCCTCACTGCGGACAGGGAACAAGATGGAGTCATTCTGGAGCGTAGGGTAACGATGCTGGGAAGAAGTCTTGTCTCATACAGCAAGTAGGCTGTACCATTGGGTTTAATGTCATTGAGAAAATACATGGACGCACCTTTTATGGCTGTATATTCAATAGTGTTTATGAAGATGTTTTGCTTTCCTTAGCAAGCACAATCCTAGGAAAATAAAAATAACCCCAACTCTACACAATGAAATGATATTTATGGCATTTAAAACTTCTATGACAATGCTTGGATACCAAAACTTTCCGCCCTAATCCTGTCAGTAATAAACAAACTTTTGTCTCAAATACTTCTTGTATTAAGTGGGATTGAAGAAAAAAAATTGATTGATTTACACGCTTTTTGGGTCCCATTTTTCTTTTGGATAGGACAACTTTAAGTTACCCACTTGGAGTAACCCCAACAGTACCTACAGTATGTACATGTGAGAAGCTGGAATACTTACTTGATGATTAGATCGATGTCCACATTAGCATGAATGAAATCTCCGTCTGTACTACGGCGGACAGTTCCTTTTATTCCCATCAGGCAATGCTCCTTTGGAAGAAAGGAAAGATACAAATGAAAATAACCTGCACAAAACAGTACTAACAGATTTAGTTTATATTTAAGTCAGCTTCCCTCTCTGAGACACAATGATATGCTGTGTTTTCATAAAAAACATACATATATGTACTTTGTAAAGGATCTAAAATTTAAGTTTTTAGAGGCTCTGGAATATCTTTATCATGCTTGGGGGAAGAGGGTCAGTGAGGATGCTAGAGCCACTACTCCTCTAACATTACTAGAAGAAGAAGAAGATAAGTATGTGTACCTTAGTCCTCTGGAAGATACCCTTGGGTTCCAGGTTCTTCTTGACTCCCGGGTTGTTGATGTTCGTCTTGATCCAACAGATGTCCTCACAGCGTCGGAAACCCCACTTACGTAAGCACTGAGGGAAGCAATGTCAAAATTAGCTGACAAAACATAGACAGCCTGAGCACCACACAGTACAGTTTTTCAAAGGTTACTATAGAGCTATGCATGGTCCCACAATTAGTGTATTCTTACTCACCTTGTAAAAAAAGTAATTGGAATTACATCTCTAACAGATTAACAAGCATCTTCCTAGTAGCATGACACTAGTAGCATTTATAGTTCAGACTTCCAGTCTTGTTTGCACTACATTATAGCTTTTTAGCCTACTGCCTACACATGACTGTGCAGGGCTGCCCCCTACCTACCTGGAATCATAATTGCATCTCTTATGGATTTACCAGCATTTGCCTTTTATACTACTGGGTAGTAGCATTTATAGTTCAGATTCACATTCTTGTGCAAGCTGCACTACCTGATAGCCTTTGTAACTACGACCAATATATTACTGTGCAGTACTGCCCCCTACCTACCTGGAATCATAATTGCATCTCTAATTGCATCTCAGATTTACCATCATCTGACTTTGTTACCAGTAGCATTAATAGTTCAGACTCCCATTCTTAAGTAAGCCTCACTACCTGATAGCCTATAACCTGTACATGACAGTGCAGCAGCGCCCCCTACCTTCCTGCCCCAGTCCAGCCCATCCCCAGACCCACACCACAGGAAGATGAAAGATCGCTGAGCAGCAACCTCCTCAATCTCCAGCTTCATCACCTGGGAGAGATGGAAGAAATTAACTAGCTATAGACCAAACCTGGTCTACCTGTCCCTGAAAAAAAAAAACACTTGTGGATGCCATTTTCTACAGTACGGATACATCAAATTGTCATTTAAAATATGTAAACCCTTATCCAACAACAACAATTTACCACTAAAAAGACAGTTGGCTGCATGGTTAACTTAAATGTTAACTGGTACAGATACAGATTCAACAGAAGTTGGTCAAGAAAGGTTAGTCTTAAACCTCACCAATATTACAAAACAGGTACACAAAATTACAAACTTAACAGGTACACAAAATTACAAAAATGGATCACTACTTAACAAGGACTTGATGACATGAGTGAACCAGCGCTAGAATAGAATTAGATACCAGGCTAACATATATAACCACATTACCTCTTCCCAGGCCCAGAATTTGCCGCTGTACAAAGCTCCTTCCCTTTGATACTCCTCCAGTGGTGGTTCTATCAGTATGACATCAAACTTATAGTCCAGTTCACGCATGTCAAAAGTCTCCAGGTCACACTGGAGAAACCTGGCAGAAAAAACATCAGACAATGTTGTTACCTGTTCAAGGTGGTCTTGTGTGACTTAGAATCTAAAGCTTCTGGGTTCAAATCCGTAGTACTAGTAATCCCAAATTTATGTCATTGGAAAATGCACTTTTTTCACATTTGCCACAAGTGAAAATGAGTATGTAGATTAGGTACATCTGGGACATAAAGTTGGAGGCCCCATGTTTGGGGTGAGCCATACCTCTGGTAGATAAAGAACCCATCACACTTGTAGTAAAGAGAAGGGGTCCATTCTGGTGTGTGGATTAAACCTTACAGTGCAGTCTTATGCAGCTTGCGCCTATTGTACTGTCTAACCCTAGTTTTTAACTTAGTGTGTACGCTTGTTACATGGTCCCATGCAAAACGTAGCCAAAAAGGAAAGGTGAACATGACTTACATTGGTGGACATGCTGTTTTTGCAATGAGCTCATCTTTCAGCTTGATAAGCTCTTTCAGTTTGGGATACTCTTCAAATCTGTCTGCCAATCCTGAAAACAAAGTGCAATGTTTAACACCAATCTATTTGCATTGCTACTATGAATGATGCTATCTCTATGATTTTAGTAACATCATCATGTAACAGAATAAAATATATAACTTATAATTTATATGAAACGAAATTTCACCTAATGGAGAAAAGCCTGTATTTAATTTTCCCTGGCTTGAAATATCAGTAACTTGAGTAAATTGTCCATTTCAATCATGATTTTGGCCGGTACCTAAAATTGGTTCAGGTACACAGCACTATCATAAAATATGTGAACTTCTGCTAAATGGATGTCAGCTTACTACTATACAGACAAAAGAAGAGCCCCTACCGACATCTCTGATGAAGTTCTGAGGTCTCTGTCCTGTGTCCACAAAATGCTGACAGTAGTCATTGTGGGGGTTGGCACTTTGAGTCCCCTAAAAACAAAATGACAAGAATGTCACAATACACACAAGTTACTTATTTTGGATGAGACCTGGCTTTATCCCAGCCTTGTCACATCATGTTTTTCCTGAAAAAAATCCAACAACCTGCAAATAGAATTGGTATGCCCATAATTATCTAGGCCTTTTAAACAAATGCACAATGGAATCTTCATACATGTAGATCCTGTAACCAGGAAATAAACTTACCTTGAGGAAGGTGCTGGAGTCTTGGTACACTTCTTCCACCAATTCAAAGTATTCATCCTGACGAGAAAAGAAGACATGTACAACAGTTAGGACTGGTCTGGTTATTCCTCCTCAAAGAATTCCTCTCTGTGGATGTATCCTTCATTTAAGATAGCATAGCCCCCTTTTTTGACCTGCTGAGAGTTATTCACTGCTGAGAGAGCAACCCCAAAGTTGGGCGCCAAAACCGACATTCTAGCAGCGATGGCTGGCATGGCCCTTCCCGTACTGTTTTTGACCGAGGTGTTCTAAATAGAACAGGGGGTGGGGCTTACAGTATTCGACCGGAAAAGTCCATTCTCAAGTTCTTGAGTTCCTCCACTATACAAAATTACAATGTACTTCCTCCCAGCCTGCGTGGAGACCATTTTGACTTCCAATTTGACCATCCAATCAGTCTGTGGTTACACAATTTCCCTGTGCCTATACTATGCCGAAATAACTACGGAGTCTGGACACACAAGCAAACAAACACATGACAAACAAAACCTTATGCAGAGGCAGAAAAATAGGAAACATTAAGACATTATGTGTACCTCATCCCCTTCTCCCTGCCATTCCGCATCCTTCCGTTCTTCCTTGTCCACGCTGGGCTCAGTGGCCCTGCGCTTGGCTTCAGGTGCCTCGTCTGCAGACCTGGCAGCTGGAGTAGCTTTGGCCTGTTCCTCCAGCTCCACCTTACTCTTCAGCACCTGCCCCAGGCTGTCTGCATCTGCCGCTCCCAGCTGGGGAATTTTACATCATCAGACCAATATGAGGGCCAGTATGGGGTGGTCTCGAGAATGCTCTAAGCTGCTCAAGAGCCGACTATGTATTACGCCACGATGAATTCAGGAATCCTCCTCATTACATTATACCGGTAAGATAAATCCTGGGTAGCTACAATGCATGACATAGAATCAAAACGATGAATTATGCTCTACACAAAATGCGCCAATTACACTCTACGTTGAATTAGAGCGGTCTGTCTACGCTTTTGGTACAATTAAAAGGGGCAATTACACTCTGCGGAAAAGGGCATGTGGGCCCCCTGGGTCTCAAGATGGTCTGTGGTTACGGTTACTGACTTCTGAAGGTTCTGGGTTTGAACTTTGCATGCCCCAATGTTGTGCACTTGGGAAATCTGCACTTTACACTGGTATTTCCTCACTTTCCTCAACCACACCTACAAAGGTGTAACACTTGAGTGCTAAGGTTTGATTCATTCACGTCTGGAATGCATCAAACCTTACAGTCTGGTCTTTTCGCAACTTCAACCTACTGTACAAAACTGGTGTATTCCGTCTTGAGGGGATTTCTCGAAGCAAACAAACAAACAACCTGCAGCATACAATATTATGGGGAGGGGGGCGCCACAGCGAGGTATGTTTACCTGTTGTGCCAGCAGCTCCCGGCGCTTCCTCTGGCGCTCTCGAATCTCCTTCAGTCTGTCTCCCATCGCTCTGTGACTACAGGGATGGGAAAACACGATGTTGGGGACGCCAATACCGCTGATTTTCCTCTAGAAGACAGCGAAAGATCTCCGCAATGGACGCTACTTACCTAAAGGACCAGACCGTTTTACGGCTGTCGTGAAACCTGATCACCGACGTATTTTACGACACACTGCTTTGCTCTACAACTAAAAGGTTCAAAATCAACAACAACGACAACAAAACAGGGGCAAACACAATTCTTGAAGCATGAGGATATCGACTACAAATTTGTTTTCTAACGATAGGATCATCCTACCAATAGTGGACAGGATCGTCCTGTCAATAACAGAGAATTTGCACTATTGACAGGATTTTTCTGTCAACAAATTCGCACTACTGACAGGATCTCCCTGTAACAGAATTTTTTACACTATTGGCCGAAGATGATTCATCGTTGACAGAAGAACCAATGGGTATAAAATTGACGATCCTGTCAGCAGTGCAATATTTTCTGCTATTGACAGGACGATCCTGTCAGCAGTGCATTATTTTCTGCTATTGACAGGATCGTCCTGTCAGCAGTGCAATATTTTCTGCTATTGACAGGACGATCCTGTCAATAGCCACAGGCTTATGCAATATGCCAGATATGCCAGACTACGCGACAGGGAGGTATGAATTCTGGATAACCAAGGAGGTTGCAAATGTCCACAGCCTCAGGTTTTAAATGAGATTGAAATCTCCTTGGGGTAAAAGCGTACTAGAATAGAAAAGATACACTTGAAGTACGCATGAGAGATAAAGCAGCCTAGTCGCAAAATATCAAGTAGTGCCCAGTAGAGGCCTGGGGATCTCTTGCAAACCGTTTTAATAGAAGCGCGAACTCTGAGAGGATAAACTAAAGTGCAGTGAGTCCACTGGGTTGCCATGTATGACCATCCTGACATTAAAGGATTCTGTATTGGTGAATGCCTCGTTTCTAATGGCGGCCTTACGGCTGGCCTTCAGTTTTGATTTTAGCCTGAGGCTATTGACAGGATCGTCCTGTCAACAGCAGGAAATACTGCACTGCTGACAGGATCGTCCTGTCAATAGCAGAAAATACTGCACTGCTGACAGGACGATCCTGTCAATAGCAGAAAATATTGCACTGCTGACAGGACGATCCTGTCAATAACAGGAAATACTGCATTGCTGACAGGATCGTCCTGTCAGCAGTGCCATTTTTGACACTGTTGACAGGATCGTCCTGTCAGCAGTGCCATTTTTGGCACTATTGACAGGATTTTTTAAATCTTCCATTTTGGGCTCTATTGACATGATTTCTTCTTTGTTTTCATTTGTTTAACCAGTCAGAAGGCATATGCTACTGTACTGCAGATTAGGCGTTTCACGATGGCGGCTATCATCACGTTAACAGTTATCAATACAGAGTACTCCAGCAGATATATGTCAAAACTAGACATGTTCAAAATATAAATACAAGCGAATTTCATGCATAAGCTGTCTGAAATATGAAGGCTGTTACATAAGATGAAGACAATAAAAAAGACAAAAAGAAGTTGATCTCTATCCATTATTTATTCTTTCAACAACTTCGAAATCAAATGGAACAAATCCAGGAAAGTACCGCTGGTGTGGCCGGTTCAGCTAGCCGGCCCGCTAACAACAACAGCCCCCTGGCGCGCGTATCCAGCTGGCCCGTGACCGAATTTTACCGGCCCCACTGGGCCCCACAGTACCGGCAAAGGCACGCTGCAGGGCCTGGCACGCTGGTTAGTGTTACCTGGGGGCGGGTTGTTGCTGTTAGCACGCCTGACGGTTAACCCTGGGTGCCCCAGAGTCCGGCGTTTATTTGGCGATAGATTTCGGGAGAAACCGTATTTGTCCGCTACCATTATCCACCCAAACCCCTTCGTCCACGCGAAGCCCTCTATATAAACGCCTCATGCGCGAGGAGATATTTAGAATTTAGACCCAGTGTGCCAAGTAGGTCTGCCGGGAGTATGGCTTCCAGGCTTCCCGTGACTTTTACTTAGGAGATAGACACTCGCGCGCGGGGTGGCACCCAGGCTAGCCCGACGGGTACCCGCCGGTGGACCGCTGTGTCATTCCCGTGGCGCCGGCTGTAATGGCTAGCGCTTACTGTCGCCCCGACTAGCCTCTACCAGGCACCGTGGATCGCTGGAAAAATAATAGAAATTGGCCGAAATAAAGGGAATATATACCAAGGGAGTTAGCCGACCTTATTCACTTTATTTCGGCGATCCGCGGTGCCTGGTAGAGGCTAGTCGGGGCGACAGGCACGCACTGCCGCCGCATTGCTTACGGGAGGCCAGGCGCGCGCTACCGAGCGGGGGATCAATGTATGCACGACGATCTGCAGGGGCCGCAGCGCAGGATCGTAAAAAATGGCCTAATAGCATACATAATAACATCTACATAAGACCTACACGAACCAGCGCCCACCCCAAAATTTCCAGTACGAAATAAAAATACCAAAATTTTATCGATCCTGTCAATAGTAGAATAATTTGCACTG